TAAACCATCCATGGCCACACTTAAATATATCGAAAAAAATTCCGTAAAATCAGTTTAGCTGTTTGAAGGAGTTTACTCACAAACGCACGTACAGTATAAATATAATAAACAAATATTGGCATAGCGGTAAAGCTGCTGAGCGCGATATATATTTTTTTGCATCTGGGGAAATTTCCAGAACTTAATTTGACAGACTCATCCGTGCTATTTTTAAGCGAACATTTAATGACAGCAACAGTGTCCTATTTTGCAATAGAAGCAACAATCGAATTGAAATAAGTGGTACCTATGCTTTGTTGGATCCATCTATCAATCAATCTTTACGTTAATATATTTATTTAATGTCATGTAACTTTCAACATTGTTTTAAATTTTTAACTCTTTTTTAAATATGTACCTTCAGAAGCGCATATTCAAATATTGGTAAAGTTCGAAATTATGCAAAAACAAATATGCGTACAATCTTTAATAATTCACTCATAAAATAATGCAAATTCATTTTAAAATTATTATCGCTTTTCCTTGTAATACGTTTATTGGATGAGGGTTAAATACCTATGTACATACTTACGTATATGTATGTATGTATGTGGGATACTCAAAACTTCACGATAATTACGCGTCACTCATACGGCAACGCGACTGATGAAAAGCTAACAAATTTGCGTAGTGCTACCGAAATATGAACATTAGGGTGGTTCTTAAATGTAGAACGAAAAATTTTACATTAGATTTCCTAAGCCTGAACGCCTACGTCGATGCTACTGTAGGCGATATCGAGTCGAGATATCACATATAATTTTTGGCCACGATTGGAGTCGGCTAAGGCTTGGCGCACAGGGATCAAAATTTAGATTACCCTATGAAAATGTCTTAACCGACTCCAATCGAGACCAAACTCTTTCCAACTACATATGTACATCTTAATGCCTATCAAGGAGATGTGCTTCTTCATATTCACCGCAAAAAACTTTTCTGCTAGAATCATCGACTACGCGCAATGAAATTAATAGACTGCAAAGTCGGCAGATACGTGACTTTCAAAAACATTAAAAAATTACATATTTACTGATGTAGGTATGTTTTATAATAACTATGTATACTCGTACATAAAACATAGGCACGTAATGCGGTGATGTCGCTTTAATGGTCTGAACTTAAGTAGCTGTGTTTGAGTGCATAAATCATTTGTTGCCTGCGGCAAATGAAGTAATACCGCATTACCTAATTTTTCAACAGCTGAGCGCAGCAAAAGAAAATTTATGTATCATCCTGCGTACTTGTTGTATAGACATACATATGTACATAAGTATTTACTTAGAGATATTTTACACCAAATTGAAAAATTCAATAGATATGTATTGCCGCAACTTGCATTTCAACTTTGGCACGTTTTCTTTTCACAGCTATTGAAGGTAACATATATTGGCTGCTACTAAGCAACAAAAATAAAAATACGAGTGCATGAATAAAGGAGAGGAAGCAAAGAAAATAAAAACTTAGAAATGACAACGAAATGAAAAATTGTGCGATGAGATAAAAGAAATTTGAGTCATCGATGCTGGTTGGTGACCACCGCAGGCCGCACTGCTATGTGGCGCGAACGACCGCTGTGTGGCATGCCACATTGCGCACGCCATAAAAAGCGCAATAAAAAATTGCACTTGCAAAAGTATATTTCAAACAACTTTCTTGCTCCACTTTTCGACATTTCATGCAAGCGCAATTTCTTAGCAGCATTTTCTTCCTTTTCGTCTTTTGTTTCATTTTAAGAATTCACTCTTCTCAAGATACTCTCTTTCTATCTTTCGTTTTTTAAACGCTGAGTAGCCGCAATGAAATAAAAAGTCACTAAAATATTGAATGCCAATACGTATGTATACTGCAATCGGCCAACCAGCCAAACGTTCGACCTACCGACCGACCTGCAGTTGAAAAAAATAAAATAAAAAAGCTGCCACAAAAACCCAAGAAAAAACCAGAAATGTTATAAAAAACAAGTCGGTTGTGAAAAGTAGAATATTGCGAATATCGCCAGTTGGCTGTTAGTGAACTAGTGTATGCAGCAGAGAATAGAAGAGGCGAATAGAGTAGCACTGCACTTGAAGACAATGGGAAAAGTTTTGGCAACGCGGCATTAAAAAGACATTAAAGCGCAGCAAGCGAAGACATTCTCGAACAATGAAAGCCGAAGACTGCAGCTGCGCATAGCATGCGATTGATATAAAACTTCAAAAATGTGAGAGCAAAGTAAAAAATAAAAATAAAAATTTACCAGTTATCTTTGCTGTACATTGAATTGTAAGTGGCTTAGTAAAGTACTCAAAAAAAAGGACGCATAAAATAAGATAATGGCTATGAACAAAGGCCAAAGCAATGAGTGCAGGGTGCAGTGGCTACTTATGCCTCGAAGTTTAAGTGAGTGTGGCGGCCGAACAGTTTTAAGAAATTGGAGGTTGACTAAAAGTTAAAGTTGCGAATGAGTTACACAAATTTCCTAACAGAAACTTTTTCTCATGTTTCATCCTTAGGCGCGACTACTAACATCAAGCGCCTAAATGCATTCTATGTACTGCTGCATGTGCGAAAATTTCCTCCATTAAATTTATGAAATTTTTGTACATGCACTTCTCAACTGCCATGTAACAAAAATTTCTTTAGTTAAAATTTAAAGGCACCTCAAAGTATACTCGCCCTGATGCATCCGCCGGATAATCCTTGCGGAGTTTTCTGCTAACTCTCCGTGGCTTACAATCATGCAGAAGTGGTAACAGTTCCCTCAATATCACAATAATCATTAATCGTACAGTTGATTACGATTAATTAATTTTAATCAGTCATCGCGTTTAACATTTTAATCGTTAATCAGATTAATATTTTGCCAACACCGATTTGATCATATAAGGTCTGAATCAGTACTGCAGCAAGATAAAAATTCGATGAAGAAACTGTCGTCGCTTGCGAATATGTTCCTGGAAAGGAACACCGCAAAAAAACTGTTGAGGTCATGGCAAATGCGAATGCATTTGGAGGTAAGATATATCGCATAAAAAGTTACTTTTGGCTGACCTTAGCACTTTTCAAGCGCCTTTATCGGAAACCTATCTGGTTCTGGGAAAGAAATCAATGGGAACGTTTTAAAAAAATATATATTTCTTTTATTTATTTCATAAGTTTTCCTTTTTTACAGAATATCATATTAAATTTTATTTTTTTTCAATAAAAAGAAATTATGTAAAAATTTTTATTATAAAAAATAAATGAGGAGCATTTTGTAAAACCACGAATCTGGTCTATTATCGGAGCACTCACAAAACACTACATCAAAGTTATCTTCATAAGATTTAAGGCGTCCTTTTCACAAAATTATAGGCGAATAGGGGAGTCCGCACGGAGTCTTTGCGGATTATCAGCAGAAGCTTTCTGGGACTCCGAAATCACTCATTGAAGGAGTCCTAAAGGCGCACTGTTTTCATATATATTGAAAAGGCACATTTTTCTGGCGGATATGCTCCTTTGGGACTCTTTTTGGAGCCTACCTAGGAGCATAAGCGCACCGCACAGGGAGTACTAATTGTGCACCCTGCGGAGTCCGCTGGTTGGCTGGGTTTAATTTCTAAATCGCCATATTAGCTCATTTCGGTAATGGAAATATTTTTTGAACATATATCTACATTTATATATGTTTACTCGAATATAAGTGTTTACTTAATATTTTAACAGTATTTTAATTCACTTATCCTAAAAATTTGATCTTCTTGCGGCGAGTTTTACCTTATTTGTTTTTTTTTTCAACTTAAAGCATACTTCGCACACAACATGTTATGAAAAAACTAAAGCTAAAGAAAAAATAATAACTGTATAGCCGACAATCGAAGGAAAACTTGCTATAAAAACATAGACTTTGAAAGAAATAATATAAAATGCATTTGGTGCACACACACAATGTGTCATGCTGCACAAGAAAAATCCAATCAAATCGAATCGTATTATGTAACACTTGTTTGACTGCAGCAAGTGCATTGATAGCAATAATTGAATAGATAAATATAAAGCGATAGATATTACATATGGTCTTAATATGAATTTTATACTGGATATATACATGCACGTACATATATTGAACACACTTAACGTATGTAAGTACGTACTTGTGTGAAAAAATATGTTTAGCACATATTGAGCAAAAACAAATGTATCAATATTTTAAAAAAACAGCATACGGATCTAGGAAGTCTAGGTATTTTTGCAACATTTGAGTGGTCACTTATGAAATTCGGTTATTTGGTACCGCACCTACAAGCTGCTTAAGTCGACACCTACGCAAACATATAAATAACCGGGGTATCCGTGTGTCCACTAGTTTTTTTATATAAAAAACTTAGCGAATAACAAGCTGCTCATAGATTTCCTCGTAAAGTTGTTATTGAAAATCTTTAAAGATACATTAAAAATTTTGGATATGAAATTTAAATGAAAATATTTTATTAAACCATGCAAGTTAATCCGGTCACAAAGGATGCGCATACACTTTGCACCTTTGTTCCAGGCACATTGGTTTTTTGCTTTCTTTATGATTGTTTCATTTATTGTACGTAGAATAAGCAGAAATGTCCAGCTAGTAGCTTTATTGAGCCTTTTAATGCCCCTTCGCCACGCAGTGGCAACAAATTGTAATTCAGCATCCGATTCTTGCAGCTCAAGACTTCCAGTGTTTATACGACGTAGCAACTGAACACCCATTCGAAAGCAAGCTAATCTAATAAGTCACACCCCCAGTAATGGGTCGTGCACTGGGATTTGTACGGACATGTATAAAAGACTACAAGTGAGAACCCGGTCGTCTTATATAGTCGTTCACCATAGTCAACGAGCGCCTCGCCACAATGCGGGTCAAAGCGATGGTTTTGAACATCTGTCCCGATACGATAACAAAATCGTGGTTTGTAATTTCGGTCTCTTCGTCGAAAAATTGATCTTTTATGACGGAATATCTGATAATGGACCGTGAGTGCTCAAGTTTGCCGGTGCCCGAAAATCATCCTTAGTGCTGCTTCTTCTCTTTCATCTTCGTCGACCGATTCACTGTCTCCAAAGGCTACTTCTAATTCTGCATTTGCAGAAAACTCTTCTGCGTCAGACATTTGGACATCTCTTACAATGGGCTCCTGCCCGTCCTCAGGAAAAATAATCTTCTCCTTGTTTCACAATAGTGTCAAAAAGAGAGTTCATGTACGCCTCGTCTTCTGCAGCACTCAATCTAGAAAAGAAAAGGCATTACAAATTTTAGTTTGTTAAAATATTTAATTATATTATATATGTTCTGTTATCTTTCATATGCACTGGAAGACAGATTGTCGTTGTATGTATTTTGAAGCCCATTTCTTCAAGTTATTTACATACTTGAATTTTTTCGCGGTTAAAATATTAACATTGCTCATTGACAAGCACTCAAACAGCATTGATTTGAACCCACGACAGTTACTATTATGCCTCTTAAATATTTAAACCAAGTAAGTGGACAAACGGCAACCCCGGTTATGTATTTACCTGTAATTTTTTGGTTATGTGTTCTACGGTTAGTATTGTCTTCTAATGTTAAGCCAAGATCGACGTAAATTTAATTGAGTCTTTAATTTATTTAGTAACAAGCAGTGCCTGTAAATTTTTTGACTCACTGTACGCTTGAATTCAATAGAAATTAACTCAGCTGTCGCGCAACATTATGCCTTACAAGAAAAAGTGGATCCTTTTCCTGTGCATGTAATATTTGTATAAAAATTAATGACTTTCAACCACATTTCTCCATTGCTAAACTCCAAGCTAACTAACTTTACCAATCTACGACGAAAAAGGAATGCGCGCATTTGCAATGTATGTATAAATGTAGGTAAGTGCATATGTATGTATATTGCATTATACATTATAGGTCTATATATGAGGGCATGTATATAGTATTTGCACTCAATTGCAAATGGTTTTACTGTCAATTCACTTTAACCATTGATTGAGGGATTTGCCTAAGCGCTGACCTTTACTTTTACTTATCATTGAAAGGCTGCTGCTTGTGTCAGTGCTATGTATTTGTAGGAAGTCGTTGTTAACTACGAAAGAGCATTCATTTGACGCTTTTGTTCAAAGCTCAACTGCATTGGCATTCAACGAATGGGGGGTAATGTTTTATTGGTTTTAACACTAGCACATACACACACATATACTCAGCCATGATATATTCAGTAAATCAGCACACCAGTGAACGTTAAGATCCACAGCTACGCTACCATCAATTTAACGCTGTGTGGTTGTCCACGTTACAACGTTAGTTAAGCGAATTGTTGAATTGGTCCGTTAATTTCAATTTTGTTATTATTGTTGTTGTTCATGCTATGTACAATTCTCGGTGATTAATGTCTAACTGGTAATGACGCTAATTATTCGCCATGACAATAAAATAACACATACATATGTATACTACGTAGATACATATGTAGATATCTATACAGATTACCATAGGTTTACATAACTATATACCTTTGTATTTCATTGGGTTACTTAAAAAAAGTTTGTTTAATACAACGATATATTTCGAATAATTTGTGTATGTGCTGAAAATTCGCAATTGTAGAAAGTTTCTATTTGGAACGTTAGGTAAATTATTAAATTCTTCTTAAAACTTTTATAACAAACTAGATAGCCCTCACCCACTTCGCTGAGTGTATGAAATTTCTGCGTGTAATTTATTTTAATAAAACTCAACATACTTAAACTATACCAAAAACAGGAGATTTTAAATTGTTTATATTGTGACACATATACATGTATTCAAACTACCAATACTACGCTTCTAAGGTATAAACAATTATATATTAGAAAGAAATTCTCATGCTGATGTTATGTTATGTTATCTTATGTTGTGCTATGTTATATTATGTTATGCTATGTTATGTTATGTTATGGTATGCTATGTTATGTTATGTTATGTTATGTTGTGATGTGTTGCTTTGTTTTGTGATACCTGGTGCTGTGTTTTGTTGTGTTGCGTTGCGTTTTATTGTTTTGTAATGTATTGTGTTGTGTTATGTTATATTATGTTATATTCTGTTACGGTTTTCAAGGCATTTCAGCTCAATTCACTTCAATCAACTCAATTAATATCAGCTCGGCTCAGCTCAGCCACCTAAACTCAACTGCCGTATCCATAAATTTTAAAACATTTTTGTTAATAAAATATTCTTATTAACAACAGCTAAATATCGCCTTTTTAGAATGTACCTATCGTTACCTTAGTATAGAGAGGCCCTATCTAACATCGTCGTTGAAATGCAAAAAACCGAAATTAACTAAAAATTTAAAATTCACGTTTTGATTGGTTATATAATTATGATTTCATCGAATTATAGGTAGGCGCATCGTTTTATGAAGCAAAAGGAAAATTGCGCATTAAAAACTAACCTTGAAAATCTTTAATTTCAGTGTCATATATTTTTTGCAAATTTTAACCTTCCAATTTTTATTGAAAATGTGGAACTATTTTTTTTAGCATTTGTGTTTTCATAATAGGTAATTAAAAAGAGCAATGTGTTTGTGTGTCTAAAAATGAGAATTTATTTAAAGCAAACCCATTTCTGTGTAGGTATTTTTTTTTTTTGCGGCGTGAATGTGTAAAATTTACGCATACGAATTTATCACAAACAATTTCTTTATGAAATACATATATTGTACATACATACTACATATTTGCTTTGTGTAATTGTCTTGAATGCGAAAAAAAATTGTAAATTAGTTACAGTCATAACACCGCATACAAATATTTTGATAACAAAAAGTTTAAACACGAATTTAAATGAAAAATTAATTTTTAATCTCTTATTTTGCGCACACTTCTCTCTTTATATTTACAGTTGCTTCACGTGATTCCTCCAGTGGTGGCAGCAGCAGCTCGGGCAACAGCGGCAGCAGTAATAGCGGCAGTAGTAGTAGTGGGAGTGGCGGTGGCAGTGGTGGCGGACAAAGCAAATACCCGGTGCTCGTATTTGTACATGGCGAATCATATGAATGGAATAGCGGCAATCCATACGATGGCTCAGTATTGGCAAGCTTTGGTCAAATACTCGTTGTTACAATTAACTATCGCCTGGGCATATTAGGTGCGTATAATTTAAGTTAAAATGTTTAAATTGTCTGCCTTGAGACCGTTACACTGGTATTGATGCTAAAGGTGCTAGGTATAACCGAGTCGATAAACAGACACAAATTGTGTCTACTGTGCCCTCAACTCATCACAAAATTTCATCCAGCCATAAAGGTGCTATAGTTTTTAGAATAGATCTCCGGTCATTGATGTCGTATGTAGCTCTTATTTCTCCACGGCCACAAACTCCAGGAGGAGGTGCAATGATGTATCTTTGGCTGACTCACAAAAGCGACATGGATCGCTTCTGTTCTATGAGCCTACAATTATCATACAAAATGACAATATAATTAATAGCTTCTATCGAATGTCCGAAAAGTCTTTCTGTAATTTTTATGGAACCCTTTTTAGGGGAATGTGACTACCTCTAGTTCTCATCAGTCCATCGGCGATGAAAGCCACACCAGTTGGGAAGTTATTTAGGTTTGTGAATCGAATCAATTCGGCAGGTTGTGCGATTTCAACCAAAGTCACCTTGAACTAATTTTCAATGGGATTAAAATTCGCTCGGTACTGAGTTACAGAACCTGCCTGAATATTTTTATACATAAAAGTTACCAAATTCTGCCGGTAGACGAAACCAAAACAACAATTTCTTAAGGCTCGCACTGAGCTTTTATTACATTTTTGCATTTCACTAATTTGAAGCCAAAACGTTCGAATTCGTCTTCTCATAATGAATGGTTAGATTTGGCCGGTTGCTAGCCCCGTGAGGACCAATTGGAGACACCTTTAGGGATGCTGTTATCGAATATTTGATGAAGCATCTGAATATGCGTCACATTTGTAATAAATAATTGTTTGATAATCTAAAAATAGATTAGGTTAAGTTAAATTATTGGTTGCCCCAGATAAGGGATGCAATTGAATAATTAAGAGATTGGCGTTATGATACCATGAAAGCTATATGGAGAACATCAGTATAGTCAGAGAAATTGTGCGAGCAATCACCTAATAACGAATACGCTTATCTCAATGCCTGAGAGCTCGTCAGAGTTAGTCATAAACTGAATTCCAGTCACACAATGGGTCACCAGAACCCCCTCCAAGAGCGGGAGCTGAGGCGTTGCAAGCATAAGAAGCTCCATTAACAAGGCGGATCTTGCAATTGCGCATTTGTATCTTGGTTTGAGCCCAGCGCTCGATGAGCCTAGATGACCGCGGCACGACAGAGCTGTCCCCAGCTGCCTTACCAAGTCTTCAGCCACGCACTTTCCTGCTATGTCACTGTTACTTGGTACTCAAATGCGACTGGAACCTAAACATGTTTTTTTATTGATAGCTCTCGGCAAAAAACACCTCCATTAACCCTGCCTCCAAGTTTTTATCCGTCCGTGAAAAAGCTCACCGCTCCCTTCCTTCACTTGAGGAAATGTAGGAAGGGACGGCGCTTCTGGAAGCCATTACGGAGATGCAGTAATCTGTTTGTTCAGGGACGCAATCAAGGCCCTCCAGAAATCTAGATTTCTGCCAGCAAAGCAATTCTCTGTGCTGGATCCAGTTGCTTAGCAAGTGTAACCACCAGACAAAGGTTCCGTAAATAAATATAGGTTTAGCTATGGTTTCATAGAGCCAATGAATTACTTGGCTGAGAAATCACACCTCCTACCAATAGCTAGCCTGCAGCAGTGTCAGGCAACCGACGGCTTTCTTGCCATTTCATCAAAGTTGGGCTTACACTACAGCTTCCTATCCAGTATCAGACCTCAGTGCTACACCGGGGCCCTTGTACATCCTACTAAATAAGACCTGTTCCGTCTTACAGAGTTGACTGCTAGGACGAAGTTGGACGCTGACTTACTTACCAAATTCAGGTAGCCTTGAGATGAAAAAGGTCCCATATGCGATCAACCGGCAGCCGAGTTTCTCCAGTTCCTCGAGAAGTTCGTTTATAACAGCAATCCCGCACAGGCGGAAGAAACCACTTTCTTGCAGAGTACCCTTATTAACGCCAGGACAGTTTTGTCGCGAAGTAAGCGCTAAATGAATCTTACTATGTTGGTTTCAACGCTTCGCTTATGCAGGGAGCTTATTATTATCTCCGAAATAACCTTCTTGAAGACCACTCGATGTCGAAGGAGGCCTCTATTTTATAACGAGCATATTGAGCTCTTTAAAAACAGTCACGAGGAATCCCCTTTATGAAGTGCATGTCAATCAGTCTCTTCAGGGTTTTTAGTAAAAACGAAGGCCGACTGATTGGCGTGCAGTCGTAAGAGTAAATACGAGAGTCCTTACTGGCCTTCGGGATGAACCTAACACTCACGAGCATCCAAGACTTGCGGATGTACGCGTCCTCACGCAATTCACGTAAATATTTAGGAGACAGCCAATTGACGGAACACCTCTACAGCCTTTTGCAGCTGCACAGGTATTTATGATGCCATTGGTTCGCGGAGAAGAATTTGTCGCCCATGCCAGTTGACGATAGTCCAGAAGGTCAGATAGTGAGGTGCAACCCGCAGAAGGTAGCCCAATGGAGATTTTTCCTGGGATTACAATTTTTCAAATATCAATATATTTATTTTAGAAAATGGAATATTTAAGCGCATTTGCATTAGCCCTATACATTTAAAATTGGACCACGAAATACAAATAAAGCGCTAATTAAATGAAATATTTGAAAACTAAGCCAAATACGAAATAAAATTCAAATGCGCGAACAATCATAAATTTACAACACTCACTACTAATAAAATTGTTCCTGGCATGCAACAAAATGTGTACTTTAAGTATCTACGCCTGCTCGGGGGGGACTGCACTTAAAAATTTATGCAAATGTGCTATATGCAGTGCGCACTTTATTAAAAAGCACAATTAGCGCACAGATTGCAATGACACAGTGAAACAGTGTTAATGTAACTAAAAGTACATATGTACGTTTACATATACATACATATGTATGTATGTACCCCTATGCAAGCACACATATGCGATTGCATGTATGTATGTATGTATTTACATGTGAATAGCCGCTCGAAAAAAATTGAAACTTTTACTACTATTTAGCTTCGCATGTAGCTCTACGTAATATTCATTTGTTTCCTAATTTGCATACGAAATTTGCTTGCGAGCAATGCAAAGCAAAACCTTTGGTGTTGCTATCGTTAGCAGTAAGTGCGTTGGTTGCGGGTGTAAGTTGGTAATGTTGCATTGCCACTATTGCGGCTGCTGTTAGCGTGTTGCTGCTGTTTGAATTTATAAATGCAACTTTTGCTTTTATGAATTTTTCATGAGGCACCGCACCACACAATCAACCGACCAACCAACCAACCAACCAACCAACCAACCAACCAACCGACCAAACAACCAACGAACCAAACTGGTCGTTTGCACTGCACACACACATATGTAGCAGCATAGCAATTCAAATTGTTTCCGCCTGCTATGCGCACAAATGCGAATGTTGGCTATAAAAGTAAATGAAATTTTTCATTTAAAAAATTCAACTGAATTTCGGTTTTAGAAGGTCGTACAGAAGGGTATGGAAGTGTAAACGTGGGCGCACTAGTGGCCACCAAAAAGGGGTGGCAAGTATGCCTTGCATGCTAAAACACGGCTGCCAGTTAAGCCGCTGCAAGCGAATTTGTCGCATCTACTAAATGCAGCAGCTACAGGCACACACATACATACATATATGTATGTACTACTGCATAGTTGCAGCTCTAAATGTGTACCCTATGCACAAACAAAAGGAGTGCGGAGAAAAATCTCCTAAATGTATACATATTCATTTTTTTACACCTGTATAGCACAGATTTGCTAAAACAAAATTTGCACATCGCGCGCGTCGTGTGTGGCAAGTGGCGAGTGCTAGCGACAAAGCCAAATATGCACTTGTTTACTTGAATTGCTGCATGTTTGTGGGAGCATAGGCGAAAAAAAAAAAAAAAAAAAAAAAAAAAAAAACAAGTTGTCTATGCGCTTTTATTCAAGTGCATGCGAGAATTTGCCATTTCCTGGTATTCTAACATACACTCAGCTAGATACACTAAGCTAGATGCATACATAAACATGTGCATATACACAAGCTCTTGGAGGCATATGTACGTTTGTATGTTCGCTTAGGACTATGTGCCCATCCGTAAGCCTTAGTCCAAACGCCAACGTGCTCCGCATATGTAAATGGTTTAAGCTTTAGCGCATTTCAGTCATCCAACATGCGATAAACATGAGTGAGAGCATCCGCACAGCATCAACACGATGTTGACCTAAATGCAAACATGCNCAATTTTCACAAAAAAAAAGAATTATTAACACAATGTTCGGTATGGTTTTGCTTTATTTAGTTTCTGGTTGCAATTTGGCATACCTAATGTGCATGTCTGTAAAAATTCTGGAGGTATAGCCTCCCATATATCCTTGGTTTGCTTTCACAGCTCACGTACTCCATTGGACGGACTTGGATACTTAGTAAGATGCGCTTTTAGTTGATTTCGCAAATTCTCGATGAGATTCATGTCCTCGGATTGTGGAGGTCATTTCAAATTAGCAAATTTCTGCTTTTGTTCCAGTCTTTGCGAACATGTGCAGTGTGTTTTGGTTGCTTTTTCAGTAGAAACTCTAATTTTTTCGACTACATCTTGCAAATTTTGTTGAAATATGAACAGATACGTTCCTTACGCATAATAAGTACAAACGGATCAACAACATTTTTGAAATACAACCCCAAACTAATATTGACCGACCACTGTGATTCACAGTTTGCCTTACATGATGCGCTTAGGCTTAATTTGGGCCTTTGTTCCAATACCATGCCCGGCCATCTGCTTAAAAGCTATTAATTTAGTCTTGTCAGACCACATAAGCCTCAATTAAATCTTAAAAATGTGTTTTTTATTGCGTTATGTAAGGCCTAACATATCCCAATAGGCAACGGTCCGGTTTTCGCGCGATGCAGCAAAACGCTGCCCCACTCGCACATGTATTTTGATCAAATTTGCTTTTTTCTTCTTTTATGATCCATTTTGCTCAATTTGGCAACTTTTCGCCTCACTATCTACTGATTTGCATTCAATTTTAATACCTTAAGCGCTTCTGTAGTAGTGCCTGCAGCGTTACTTGCTACTAAGTTCACAAGATATCGGACTGTAATATATTTTGACAGACTTCCTTTGTCCTTAGTAACACTTTAGGCTATATTTTTTCTCAGTCTTAACATTTTCAAGTAGCAAATTCCACAATTTTTTGCCACTTTCCCTGCGATCCCGCCTTTTCGCTGTAAATATAATATTTACATTTATGTTTCCTGATTAACCATATTATTTACTGGTAATCACTTCTTGAATAAATTACAATGCAGAAAAAAGGCATCTGACTTCCAACTAAGCAAAAGATAACTGTAAAATGCAAAACTGAGAGTGAGTGCAAAACTGTAACATTTGCCTTAACTTACATTTTTGTCTCCAGGTTTTTTTATTGTTGTTGGATTGACCTCAAATCGTTATGAGAGCGGGAGTAGGGGTGTACCAATAAGAATATACAACAAAAGTATGAAAGTCGTTAGAACTATGAAAGATAGCGGTGGCTGAAATAAAAAGTGTTACATCATGTTACAGATTTGCTCGTCACTGTATGTATGTACCTGCATATATGCACACCCTCGTACATTTAATAGATTCTTGGCATGCATTTGCCATATGACAATTTAAACATTCCATAGCCAGACAGCATAAAATGGTTAACAAATATTTTGCTTAAAGCGTTGTTGTTACTCAAGCAACGGCCAGAGGCGAGTTTTTCGAGTGGATATCTACAAAATGTTTGCAATAATACTTTTTAGTTCTTTCGAAAGTACTTATTTGTACATTTTTGACATCTAAATAGAATTTGCCTTAAATATATTATGGTTCACTTGTATAGTCGCAGAACTTTTTCTCTAAAAATAATTGAGTTTAACCCTGAAAATGTAACCTACGACGAATCGACGTGCACTTTTTTGAAAACCCATTCTCCATCTCCTTCTAATTTATGACACGGCGGCCATATTTCCACCCAACTCGTTTGGCTCACACTGCTTCGGGGACATATATGTATGTATGTGTGTATTATCTACTCGGGTAAGTGCGCTATTATCCGAAATACTTTCCTTCGAAAGATGCAATGACCTATGGTTATCTTTTGCATAAGTGTTGGTGCCGTTATAAAAAAATGTTGTTCCCATAAGTTTATCGACTAAGCGATGAACGAATATCACGATCGGTTAGTGAGATCTAAGATTTTATGCAAGTGTTGCGTTGCAAGATAAGTTGTGCTGTGAGGTACTGAGGAGGTACATAAGTCCACCCACCTGTGTCAAAACTGCTACTGAGAGTTCCCCACCCCCACCAAAAACCCGCTTATATAATCAAAAAAGGAAAGCTCTTAAAGGAAAAAGAGGCAAAAAGACACTCCTACACAAAAAAAAAAGTTTGTATATATGTATGTTTCTTTAAAAGTGCGGTTAAAATAAATTTAGCAATTTCTCTCCTTGCTTTGGGACAAATTCTAACCATATTTGACTCGTTTTGTTACAAAAGATAGATCCCAATTTTTGTATAATTCAAATTATTTATTTAATGAGTTAAATGAAATTTGTATTATAAAATCAGTATAAGTCAAAAGAGTTGATATCTTAACATTATGTCAGAGGGTTGCCACCTGTTTAAAAAATCAAACTCCATTTGAATTGAGGAATTATCCTTTTTCTTCTATGGCTCCGTAACCGCCTAAATGGTTTTGGCCGAGTTCAACGAAGCACCCCAGTCGTTTCTCCTCTGTGTCAACTGACGCCAATTGGCGTCACTCCACTTGGCCTTTACATCACATCCCTCTTCCTCTGCTACCACCAGCGGGTTCCGAGTTGCATACTTTCAAAGCTGGAGCGTCGGTGTCTATTCGAACGATATGGCCAAGCCAGTGGAACCGCTGTATTTTAATTCGCTGCACTATGTCCACATCGTTGTATACTCATACAGCTCATCGTTCCATCTTCTGCGGTACTCGCCGTCGCCAACGCGTAAAGGCCCGTAAATCTTTCGCAGAATCTTTCTCTCGAATACTTCAATTCTGCGTTGGATTTTAATGCTGACATTATTATGGATGTTAATGCTGGTTTCCAAGTAAACGAAATTCTCTACTTTCTCGAAATTATAACTGTTAATAGTGACGTGAGTACCAAGGCACGAATGTGCTGACTGCTTGTTTGGTGACAGGAGGCTTAGGCTTCCTCAAGTAACCCCCGAATTTACCAAGAATAATATTTTTCAATTATATTCAGGCAGTGTCGAGTTTTGTAGTTGGAAAGTACACTGTGTAAATTTTGTTGCAAAATTCCAAATAGTTTTTTTTTTTAATCAACAATTGAAGATTTTTTCAGTGTTTTGGAAATCTTTATTTTTCTTTGGAAGTAAGTGTCCGAATGAATGAGCTTTTTTGGGTGCAGATTTAAAAAAAAAAAATAAACTACAATGAAATTATTTGTGTTAAAAAGAAATTTTTTTTGCATTTCAATAATTTTTTTATGAAAAATTAAACACTTAAGCAATTTTTGCGCCTGGTGGACGAAAATTTTTAACAACTTCTGTAATAAACATTTCTGCATTTATCTATGAAAAAATTCGTGCATTTCGATATAGTTTGGCAGGAATAAATTTTTATTTGCCAGCGTGCGGGCGCGACTCTCGTGGTTGGATCGCGCGCAATCCGCGCTGACTTCTTGCACAAGAAATAAATGCACGTTTCAATCGTTCCAGTTTTATTTCTCATGGTCGAATTTCGCATGCCCGCGGGAGTCGGGCGCGCAAGCTGGCAAATAAAAATTCATTCCCACCAAACTATATCGAAATGCACGCAGTTTTTCATAGATAAATGTAGAAATGTTTATTACATAAGTTGTTGTTAAAAATTTTCATCCACGAGGCGCAAGAAGAGTTATCAATTGATAATGAAAAAATTGAAAAGCAAAAAATAAAAAATATTTTTGTAACCAAAATAATTTCATTGTATAGTTTAATATTATTTAAATCTGGACCCAGTCGCTTTGCTTCCTTATCTAACTCGGAAAAAAAGAACAAGCTCTGCGGTTCTCATTACCGATGATGTCAATGTCATCGGCATAATAAAAAGGGCGTTTTCAATACGTATTCATCCTTCTGAGCCAAAAAAAAAAAAAATTATTTTTTTAATTCTACAGAATTTTTCTTTCATTTCATGTCCATATTTTTATTCTATAATAAATTGCATTTTTAACCCTATGACTAGCATTGTGGTCTGCCAGACCATTTTGAAAAATTTCACATTTTTTGGCAAACTTTGACATTAATAATTTCTATCATAAGATACTACTATATTTAGTATAGGACGATAGTGTTAGCTTCGTTTCGGTGTAAAAAAGCAGATTTTGTGCAATATGTGCACTTTTCCAAGTTGTGGTCTCTCAGACCAAGCTAAAGAAACCCATTACAATACCAAATATGGACTTTTTCTTGTCATTTATCCTCCATCTACTTTAGTAGAATTCCAAGAAAATTTATCTCAATATGCCCCGTCTTCCTCAGATCGGCCGAACCCTAACGCGGGAACCCTACCAGACACCTGCTTTCCGCAGAGCCCTCTCCTAGACACGTCAGACGAAGTTCGGAGGCTCATAAAGCAACCTCTGTACCCTACAGCTTAGCGACAGGTCATAAACGCCATTCGCAGGGAGTCGGTATAGACCTACACCAACGCCCGGCCGGTGAATGCCGTCTAGGGAATACATTCACATGATTTGAATGAAACAGAGCCTAATCTACCTCGGGAGACTTGCACGACCATAGCCCTAACGCTCTGGCAACTGCAGCAGGCTAAACTGCTACCTGAGTGGGATGTGCCCAATCAGCGTCCGGCTTGCAGTGAGTCGCCTCATTTAATAAGCGTTGTAACACTTTCGATATATCCAAAGACTTTGTTTTGTTAGTCCCACGTATCCAATAGCTTGCGATGTGTCAGACCACAACGTATGGTTGAACGTATTTCAAGTCAAGTAGTCGTAGGGTTAAACAATTTTTTGAATCAAATCATCTCTTTCAAAATGAGAGAAAAACTAAAAACGCAGTTTCATCATGTTTGGCCAGTACGTTCGCTAGCATGATGATTGTTTCGCGTATTTTGAAATTTTATTTTTGAGTTAAAAAAGTGTACAATAGTAGTCAAAGATATGAAGTTAAGTTTATAATTGTGATGTCCGGTTTCACCAATCAATTTTAAAATTTATTGAACTGCTAAAATTTAAAATATCAATTTTTCAAACAAAATTGTGATATTAAAAATTTTAAAAGTCTGATAAATTTAAAACTGATTAGAGACACAGGGCATGGGTGCCTTTTTTCAAGTATGTTTTAAAATCAACCTCATTATATACCTTATATGATACCTACATACATAGAAGAGAATAACTCTACAAAGAACTTTTCGCCTTTTTCTAATTGATTTCGAACACCTAATTGAAAAGTGTTAAGTAATTATTTTTTTTCTCTCTCTCCATAGGTTTCCTAAACGCAAACACAGATCGTTACTCAAAACTGCCAGCCAACTATGGCCTAATGGACATTATTGCTGCGCTGCACTGGTTGAAGGAGAACATCGCTGCCTTTGGTGGTGATGCGCAAAGTATTACACTGGCCGGTCATGGCACGGGTGCAGCGTGTGTGCATTTTCTCATCTCATCGCTGGCGGTGCCGGAAGGTACCAAACGAATAATAGCAGCAATTGCAAAATATGTGTTCAACGTAATAAATTTACTTTCCGCAGGTCTGCTCTTCAATCGCGCCATACTCATGTCCGGCTCCGGGCTGGCGCCTTGGTCGCTAGTCAGCAATCCCGCCAAATATGCAGCCATTGTTGCACATCATGTGAATTGTGCACCCGATCTGCCGCATGCACATCTCATGAAATGTCTGCGGGATAAGACGCTGGAGCAACTGCTGGGCGTACCCATTCGTCAGCCAGAATTCGGTTTTGCCTTTGGACCGAGCATTGATGGCGTGGTAATCGATGGCGGCGACTATGTGCCGCCAGCGCCTGGCTCAGCGGCTGCACAAGCTCAAGCCTCGACTGCCGGGAGTGGTGGCCTCGGTGGTGGTTCGGGCATTGCAGCTGCGGGTGGCTGGGGTACACCAGGACAGCTGGAGAATATTGGTAAGTAGCGATGATTGTTTGCAATGTGTGTAAAGCTATGTACATAAAGTGGTGAGCGGAAGAAATTTGTTTTTATGAAATTAATTTCAATTATAAAATTTCGTAATTAATTTCCGATTTAATTCACGTGTATGTCTGCTTTCAATTCCCTTTTTCCATGAATTTAATGCTTTACTTGGTTTCATCGCATCTGGTTCATCTCGTCTTGTGGCTGCCTTCATTTTACATTCAAAATGTATTACGGAATTACAACACATTATCGCCTTTGCTGCATCCGGTTTCTCTGATTGCTGTCGCTGCGGATACGCGGATATGCATTTAATGCCATCCTCCAACTCCACCGGCGTCGGCTTCGGTTTGCTCGTGATCTCAATTAATTCAGTATTAATGAGGAAAACAGCCATTAACAAGTTGTCAAGGTATGTAAACTGCGACGGATTTATTTACCAATATTTGCGTATGTTTGATTGTGTTACTGGATCTGTAAATGTGTGTACGACTATTTACGTAGGGCAAGAAGGAAGTAATTTGGTGCTTGGGGAATAGGTGTTTGTCCACGTTTGTAAATACGCAAAAATTAAAGTGGGTGTTAAAAATTATATAGGTAACCTACCGGTCTTACACACGCACATATATATGTATAACATCCCCGTAGCGAATGTCATACATTAGTCACTTAAGTGTCTTTTACGGCCATGTTACGTCTTAAATGACTTTGGGCTCCGTTTATATAGAAGTAGTTCATGACTGTTTCATAGAAATGATGCTTTAGTGGTTGATGTCCTCTGCATGACTTTTTCCTGCAGTGATCATTAATGGCTTTCAAGCGACAGTATGCTGCAACGGACCTTGGTGACTTTCAACTGACAGTATCAAGATGCAATGGTCTTTGGTGACATTAAAGTGACATTATCGCACAATCTATATATATAAAAATGGTGTAAAAAATGTATAGTAATTCATCAATTGAGAACGGTTGGGCCGATTTGGCAAATTTTTTTTTCAGTTGTTCGTAATTGCCAGGAGAAGGTTTTTACGAAAGAAAATTTTGGGAAAACCCTCCGGTGGACCAGGAACCGATCTATTCGAAAAAATCGTATTTATCGTCCGATTTGCTTAAAATTTGGTGCGTAGGTAGGTTTTTGCCCAGATTAGCATATAGGAAATTGCTGGAAATTCGATACCTGTATTATACATATGCGTGCAATAGCATTGAGTCATTGTTTTACAGCTCGAAAGGAGTTCGAAGGCGCCGGAAACATGCGGGTATTGGCTATTTAACAATACTTATTACACAGGCCAACAACAATAGGAAAAAAAATTATGCAGCAAATGTTAACGCTCTTTTTGACGTAAGCATAAAGTTTCCATCAGCTCCAGATTTTAAGAAAAACGAGGTCAAAGTGTCAAAAAATCGCGTTTTTTGCAATATTTGAGAAGCTCTAGCAAAGAAACAAAGGGTGGTAGAACCTCCCACTTAGGCGTAGATTAAAGCAAAAAATCTCAACCACTATCCTTGCAAATTCTTGCACCTATGCGTGATGGTCACTTATCGTCATTTGTTGAACAGAAAAAACTGATTTTGGGAAGTTTGAGTACCTACCGCAATTAAGCAAAAGGTGTTAGAACCTTCCACTTAGGCTTATATTAAGGCTTGGACCTCTGACTTCAATCCCTGAAAATACCATTCCTGCACTTTCACTCTAAGGTCACCTATAGTCATTTGTTGAACAGCTAACAGTGATTGTTGGGCGATAAAAAGTAAATGAGTATAGGTGACTATCAGGGCAAGGTTTCAGGGATAGTAGTCTGCAGTTCTAGCTTAAATTTAAGCCTAAGTGGATGGTTCTATCACCATTTGTTTCCTTGCTAGATCTTCTCAAATATTGCAAAAAACGCGATTTTTTTCACTTTCACCACGTTTTTCTCAAAATTTTGAGCTGATGGAAACTTTATACTTACGAATTCGTAATCAGCACAAAACAGTCTATCAAAAACAGCTTTAACATTTGCGCGTCGAAATCGGTGTTGCCCTGTGTTACCGACACTAATTATATAAAGAGAAGCTCCTTCTTTTTATAAGAGGTGATGTCGTCAAAGGCTGTATCGAAATTTAGAAACCTACTGCAGACTTTCTATATATTAAGGGAGAGTGTTATCACCCATACATATCGAATTTTTCATAGCGTATATCTCGGAAATATTTGTAATAGTGTCCTGGAAATTGGTATAGTGATTTTGGGGCTACTGGAAATGGGGGCGTGGCGCTTCCCAAACATACTGAAACTTTTATCTATCCGTAAATATATGCATACACCCAGAACACAGTGTTTTTTTCTTTTTCGTAATATATTTTTTTGTTTATTTTTTATAGAAATATAGTTCATTTTGCTTTTGGGTAAGCAGTTTTGTAGTTCACTTAATTTTGTATCATAAAGTGCAAGTTACCGTTGATTTTTAAGATTTTTTTCGCTGATGATGTTGCGCATTTTCTCCATATAACGAATGCGTAAGAGTTTTTTTGTATGGGAAAAATGCCGAAGAGTGTCAGTATGAAAAAGACTTATTCTGGTGGGTGGACTCCTCCTAAACGACCGAAACGATTTTAATGACATCTTTTATGTGTTTGAGTAGGTTCACCTATAGTTTAAGTTCACAACTTAAAACGCCAGGTGGCGCTAGAGTAGACTTATTACTCAAAATCCTATTTCTGATCCGATTTGACTCATATTCGAGACATATATGTATTGGTAACGATAGGGGCAATACTATTGCAAAAAACGATGCGCAAGGTGGCGCTGGAGCCGAGTTATTGCTAAAAATCGTCAATTCGGAATATCAGAGATCAAAGTCAAATTACCCGCGTTAAATCAACCATCAGAACCATTGCGGTCCTTGCTTTACGTTGACTAAACAGAATGTGGACCAATGATACTCACCAGTTTGGAAATTGCCACCAACTATACTATACAGATTCAAGGACGATTCACAATCGAGCCGCAAGGACTTCTTCCCGGTATAACGTTTTCGTCAGATTATTTAAGACGGCAATGGAGGATATGCCTTCTGTCGACCACAAAACCAAACGTGAAAGTGAATTGCTGGCGAACGTTGGTCCAATTTTTTCATTAAAAAAATTAATTTTGGGCGGGACGAAGTTCGCCGGGTCTGCTAGTGTACATATATAGGTGTCATACAACCGACAACAAAGCAGTCAAACTTTCATTGCAGTTCATTTATTTAAGTATATGTTAATGTATTCTTTTAAAATTACATATATTATTAATTTGTTAAACGTTATATATATTTTCATATGGTTCTTGCTGATTTAAAGCAGAGGCCGTCTTATTTTGTTTCTTTTTGCTCCGTTTCATTGCTAAGCGCAGTTCATTTACGTAGTCTTCGTATGTAAATCCAGATTTTGCTTCTAGAAAAATTGAAAACATGTTAGAAATTTGCAGCTACAGGGTAAAAGAAGCCATTGTACCGTTGCCTGAAAAAGGTTGCCACCTGTTGAAAAAAATTTAATTCAAATTATTTAATGAGTCAAACGGATTGTTCAAATGGGGGTATCAATTGAAATGAGTTTGAAAATAATTTATCTCTGAACCGTATTGAGGACAGCTGACACGCATTAGTAACTCAAATTGAACATAAGTGATAATTTAATTGAAATATGTATCACAATGCCAGACGAAAAAGATCTAAAAAGATGTTAGTTGAAAAATACTTTTAAATAGGGTTGCCAACTTTTAAAAAAACCGAATTTGTTTTACTTATACAAGATTTAAATGAAATATCGAAATATTAGTGTGAAACGAAAGCGTTTAAAGAAAACTTTAGTTTGATAATACATACAGGCTCAGATTCAAACAGGTGGCAGGCACCCTTCTTCAAAAATATTTTGCCGAAAAAGCTTTCTTCAACTTTTTCCTTTTAACACCTGTATTATAATTTTTTATTTCACTTCTAATTAAATTTAACTGGCGGCAACCCTCTTTGAAAATATTTTAAAAAAATTTAGCCTTTCTTCTTCGAAGTATTTTATAAATAAATCTTGCTTAAACATTTCTCGCGCTTAACATCCATATTAAAATATTTCGTTTGGATTGCTAGTTAAATCAATTTTGAATTTCAAAAGAGGTGTTAACCCTCTTCAGAAATATTTCGACGTAAAGCTTTCTTTCGCGCTTGAGCTCACATTTAAATATTTCGTTGAACTTGCTAATTAAATTGATTTTGCAATTCTAAACAGATGGCAACCTTCGTAAAAAATTTTCCAAATGAAGCTCTCTTAAAGATCTATCGTTTGTTACTCATATAAATACAAACATTTCCTTTAACTTGTTAATTAAGAGGGGGTAGAATATCTAAACTGGTTACAGCCATCTTCAAAAATATTTATACAATGAACATTTTTTTAAACAGCCCTCGTCTAATGTATATTTCATTTAAGTAACTTGTTTATTAAATTGATTTTAAATTTCTCGGACGATGGCAACCTTCGCCAAAATATTTCTCTCGTTGGATACCCTTAGAAAGTATTTAATTTCACTTGTTCATTAAATTGATGTTGACCTCCTTATTTGCTGACAGCCCTTTCAAAATTATTTCAGAAATAAAGCTTACATAATCCTCTCTCATTTGACACCCGTATTACAATAATTGCTTTAACTTGTTCATTAAATTTGTTCTGAATTTCCAAACGGATGACAATCCGTATCAAAACTATTAGCCAAATGAAGCTTTATCAAAGCTTTCGATTTTATTCCCATTAACAATTTTTAATCTTACTTGTTAATTTAAATGAGTTTGCCTTATTTAACCTCTCTTTTCGATACCCACATAAAAAATGTAAATTACTGTTATTTTTCAACACAAATTTTCATTAACAACAGCCTCAAGCTCTATAAAATTGATGAATAAAAATTGTTATTAGGCCAAAAAATAACAAAAACATATTTCAGTTAACGTGTCAATTAAATTGAATTTATCTTTTTGTGAAAGGTGGCAAACCTCTTCAAAATTAGAGTAAGTTAGGGTATTGTGATATAGGTATACGTTTTTCGACTATTAATCCAAATTTTTTAAGGTAAACCTTCGTTTAACCATGCAATTTAATTAATTGATGCATTGTGCAGCATATTCTAAAATCATGTTCCTTTATAACAAGCATTTCGGAAGATATTTCATTNTGTGTGTTTAATGTGATATACCATATCACATTGAACCACTTTGACTATATCACATTAGCCAAACTCGAGTTTTTAAGCCAAAAAACTGTTTTTCAATGAAGCATACTGAAAGATATAAAAAACTACCTAAATTACAATTAAATATATTCACGAAGAACCAAAATAAAGTATTAGAGATCCAAAATCTACGTCAATTTCTCACTAATCTCTTTTCGCAGCGCGAG